CATCTGTACAGCTGAACCAGGTGGTAGCAATGGTGGGAAGCTTGCGGGGAAGGGGGGAGACTAGTGAAGAGATGCAGCATTTTCTGGTTCCTGCATCACTAGCAATAAAGATTCTGCAAATGGAACTTAGTCTGATGTTTCAGCAGGACCAGACTTTAGCTCACTCTCCCATAGCAATACCAACACTGCAGGGCTATCCGCAAAAAAATAAATAAAGCTGTCAAAATTTGCTGTAGTCCAATGAAGTCAGCAGATGTGATTCTGAATTCATACAGGAAGCAGATCTACAGTACTTCTGCATAGTCTCTCTCCAGAGCAGAACCTCACTTGAAAGAGGATGCTGCCCTGATGCCTGCCCGAGTGGATAGCTTCCTGGTGTCCATTTCTGTGGGGAGATAGGGAATACATGATCAGGGATCGTGCCAGTGTCTCTGTTTGGCACCTTGTTGGCACAACATGGCATAATTTATTTTTTTTTGTATTTCTTAGCACCCAGAGACTACAGCTGAGATTGTGACCTCATTGTGCTAGGCACCCTACAAACACGTAGAGAGAGAGTCCCTGCCCCAAAGAGCTTACAGTCAAAGACAAAGGGGGGGGGAGAAGGAGGCACAGAGAGGTGAGATGACTTGCCCCAGGTCGCACAGCAGGTCAGAGGTGGAGCCCTGAAAAGACCCAGCTCTCCTGAGTCCCATGGCCCAGTGTAGTGCTACCTTATCCAATAGACCGCTCTACCACTCATGATGCTGGCTGGGATGGGAGTGCACTAGAATAAACAACTCTCTAGGTGTTAAGGGATGGTGTCTGGACTGAGCTGCTGGGCTGTCCTTGCAGCCTTCGTTTTGGAAGAGCTGGAGTGTGGGGAGAGCACACACCTGTGTACATCCAGGGGCGGGTTAACAAATTTGCCGCCTCTAGGCCATCAAAAAATTGCACCCCTTCCCCCCTCCCCCCCGCCAGCTTACCTCCGCTCCCCCGCGGCAAGCTGGGAGGGAGGGGGGAGAAGGGGAGTTGTGGCGTGCTCGGGGGATGGCAGCAGTGGAGCAGGGGTGAGCGGGGTGAGTGGTTCCCTGCCCCCCAAGAGTTACTCCCCGTGCCCGCCGGCCCCAGCTCACCTCCGCTATCCCCCGAACGTGCCGCTACTCGCTTCTCCTCCCTCCCTCCCTCCCAGCACTTTCGCGCGGCAAGCCTAGGAGGGAGGGGGGAGAAGGGGAGTTGCGGCGCGCTCAGGGAATGGCAGCGGCGGTGGAGCAGAGGTGAGCTGGGGCAGGCCGAGGAGCGGTTCCCGGCCCCCCGTTACTCCCCGCGCCCGCGGGCCCTAGCTCACCTCTGCTCTGCCTTCTCTGAGCGCACTGCAACTCGCTTCTCCCTCCCTCCCAAGCGTGGCAAGCCTGGGAGGGAGGTGGAAGGAGGGAAGCGTGGCGCGCCTGGGGGAGGAGGCGGGCCGGGGATTTGGGGAAGGGGCGGAGTTGGGGAGGAGGCAAGAGCAAATTTACCGCCCTAGGCCTAGGCCTTGTTGGCCTAGGCGATAATACGCCGCTGTGTACACCAGAGTCCTCTCAGGGGCAGTGGGGGTTATAGGTCGGGCCTGGCTGCCTTTCCCTGCCTCATGTTCCCCACCGTCTCTGGCTTTGTCCATCTAAATGCTTGCTCGCCTGTCAGAACTGACCACGCACAACCTCTTCCAAACAGGCTTTTCTTGGAGCAATTAGGAGATAAAGGGGCTGTTATCTTCCCCAGGCCTCTCTGATTGTGTTTGAAAACCCCAAAGCCACCCCTTGTTCGCAGTCTGGAGAGTGAGGGGAATGGATCCTGTTATCTCCCTGGATAATAAGTTAGCCTTCTCCCCCTTTCCCATCTCTGTTGGATCACCCTTCCATCCCACTCCAGTGTTTCATACTTATCCCTCGGTCTGAACCTTATCTCCACCTCTTTGTCTGCCTCTCTCTTCCAATTCCTATTTTTTCTGGCTGGCGTTTGAGGAATCAGGAGGGGAATTGGCAGCTTACATTCCCTGATGGAGAGGGGACAAGAACAGAGAGGGGGAGAGAAACCTAGCAAAAGCAGGCTAATTTGCATCCTTTCTGATTGCCCATGCTCTATAGCCCAAGTGCAGCGGGGGGTCTCCAGCGAGGCTGTTACTGCATAATGAGGTGTGTCATATCACAGCAGGAGCCAGCCTTCCCTCCTCCCCCTCCCCCAGGCCTCTTAATTAGAACTGTTTCAATTTCTGAAACCCGCCCTAGAAGAAAAAAATACGAGTGTTTGAATAGCCATGGTGGGGAGGGATTGTGAGCTGACCACGGGAAGGGGTAGCTGAGCTCTGATTGGAATCCTTGTGCTGAGATATAAAGCGATACCAGCGCACAGTGGTACAGGGGACGATAGCACAAAGCTGTGAGAAGCTTTCTGTGCTGTAAGGGGTCCATAATCATCATTTCCTGGTGGGTTTTAAGCTAAATTTAATATGGCGATGGGTGGTAGGGGGTGTGTGTGTGTGTTTGGTTTTTTTGGTGTATTGTTTCTATTGTGTCCCGAGACTGGGAGCATGAATCTTGGCACTGGAGGTTTGGGGGTATAGATCCTAGTCCTTTGGGGTGTGGATCTTTCTGTGCCCAGAAGAGGGGGTTTATTATTGTAGGGTTGCTCATCAGCAGGGTTAACAGAAGCCTTCAGATGCTGGGGAAAAAAATCCATATTCCAAGGATTTATGTCCTTCTGGATGTTCACTGTGTTCTCTAGAATCACTTACCTTTTAAAGAGCGGGATTTCTCTCTCGCTCCCCCTGGCTGAGGAAGGGCCTTCACCATATAAATGGATGTGGTATTGAGTCTTTGTCCTGTCTACTGAGATGGAAAGCTCCTTGGGGCAGAGATGTTCTCTCCCCATATGTTTTTAGTACAGTGCCTCGCATGATGGGGCCTTGTTCTCGCTTGGGACCACTGGATGCTGCAGCTAACATGGTACAAATAAACAATAAAGACTGAAATAGCAGTAGCAGCAGCAGCGGAAGAGTGATTTTTTTCCCCCTCCTTTTGGCTTTGAGTGGGAGTTGACATCAAAGCTGGTTATTACCATTAAAATGACGGCAGAGTTAACCATTTCACTGCTGGGACTTGGATTGGAAGTCTACATGCTTCTCTTTGTGTGTCTGGACTCACGTACCAGTTGTCATTTGAAAGGCTCTTCTATAGGAGTAATGCTATGTGTGGAAAAATGTGAATAGTCTGATGTTCTATGGATTTCCAGTGGGGAGGGGAGAGAGGGATCAGAACATGGAAACAGCTGAGAACAACCGGCATCCTTTGTGTGATTGCGCTGCCTGCTACTGTCTCTGCGACAAATCCTGGCTCCAAGAAAGTCAGTGGGCCTGACATTGCCCTGAACTGGCCCCTCTAGAAGTGGTGTTCGCTTTTCCCAGCTCGGACACATTGGGCTGCCCTGGTACGGCCTGTGGGTTTTCTATACAATGTGGTCTGCACTGTAATAACCTGGTTACTATTTCTGAATGGCTCTCCTTGTGTCCTACTGTGATGCGGGGCATTAAAACTGAAGAGGCCTGAACCTTTCCCCTGTGCCTGCCAGGCAGACATTCTGCAGATGTGAGCAGAATGCTTCCAGACGCTGAGTTCTGGGCTTTGTAGAGCACTTAGCAGTTCTACGGAAGCTTCCATGGAGGATCTCTGAGCACGTCACTAACACTAAGAGCCCCTCTCCAAGACACTCCTGGGGGAGAGTGAAGTAGTATTCCCATTTCGCAAATGGGGAAACTGAAGCACAGAGCAGCTAAGTGACCTGCCCAAGGTTATACAGCGCATTAGAGCCAGGAATTATGTTCAGAGTCCAATATTTTCAGAAGCTGCTAGTGATTTGTGGGTGCACAGAGTTTAGACACCTGAAAGGGCCCCATTTTTCAGCAGGTGTTGCGCGCCCACCCTCAGAAAAGATTAGCTTTTAAGGCACCCAGAATAGCTAATCACTCTGGCACAAGTGCTGGGTTCAAACCCCCTTGATCTCCCCAGTTAACTTTGTGTTAAAGTTTTTCTGGGCTGCTGCTTCTTCCAACCCTGGGGCCCCAGGACTTAGGTAATGCAAAAGCTGCTCATGCTGTGTGCTGGCCTTCGGCTTATGCTGGCTGGTCACCGCAGGGGTGCTCCTGATGAGAGCTAGGCTGCTGGGCTGAATAACTTCACTTCCTTGGAGGAAGGGAGAGCACTTGCTATGAACCCAGCACCCCCTTGCAGCCAGCTACAGGGTGGGGACGAGAGGGTCATGAGCTGGGCTTTACCGGTCCACATCCCTCTAACGTCTTTGTTAATCTCATGGTGGTCGGGGCCCCACGGCTGCTGCCCTTCACACGGGCCCTGCCTCTGACAGTGTGCTTCAGTGAGCTGGCCCGGGCAGAGTCAGGTGGGACCACCGCCGGGCTAGCGGTGATCAGGAGAGTGGAAAGATTCTGGTTACAGTGTTTAACGAAACTGCCCCCCTAATATGCTGAATCCTGCTCCTTTGAGCTGCCTCCTTCCGTACCCTCAACTGGGTTTCTGGGGCCCAGGGGGGAGGAAGAGAGGGATTGAGGCGGAAGTTCTGTGTGTTTGTGAGGGGAGAAGCTGTTGTGTGGTGGTAGGGCAGGCTGTGAGAGGGAACGGGCCCTGTGGAGGGATACACTCAGGTAGCGAGGGAGTGCAGCAGGTATTGCAGAGACCTAGAAGACCAGCACTCCTGGCTCCATTCTGCAGTCTCCATTTTCACCTTTCTGTCCAGCTGGCTGATCTGACAGGTGAATGTACCTTGACATTCCATGTAGAAAGTGCCACCATCCACGCCAGGTTCTCTCCGTGGCTACCCTGGTGTAAATCAAGAGTAACCCCATTGGACTCAGCCGTTGGCCCATGTGGCTGAGATAGGATTTGGCTCTTGGAAACTTGTTTCCAGGTGAATTCCCAGGGCTGCCCGTGCTGTCATAACACCTGACTCTGGGTTTCCCCTCTCCTCAACAGGTTCGGCACGATGACTTGGCATCCTGGGCTTTAGCGGCGTGGCAAAATCAGGACAGGTGCTGCCCTGCTCGCGCTGTATCCCATTCCCTCTCTCCTCTGGGAGATCTGTGCTGGCTTCCCTGCCCCTGGCCTCCCTTCCTCCCAGTCACCGCGGAGGGGACGGGCCTGTTATGGCCGGGGACAGACTCCCACGCAAAGTGATGGATGCTAAGAAGCTGGCCAGCCTCCTGAGGAACGGGGCAGAGGGCACCTTGGTCATTGACAGCCGCTCCTTCGTGGAGTATAACTCCTGGCACGTCCTCAGCTCTGTCAACATCTGCTGCTCCAAGCTGGTCAAGAGGCGGCTTCAGCAGGACAAAGTCTGCATCACGGAGCTCATCCAGCCAGCCTCCAAGATGAAGGTACTTAATCCAGCCCTTGCCTGCCTTTCCACTAGGGCTCCCCACCTAGTAGATAGGGACCTGGCCTGAGAGGGCACATGACCGTTGTATGGAGCAACAGAATGAAAGTGCCGGCTTCTGGCTCGCTCTTCTGCTGCTCATTCCAGTACCTTTGAGGGGAACCCAGCCTCTGTCCCTGCCATCTCACAGAGGCAGAGCAGTCCTTTTCCCCCCCTCTCCCTCCCCACTGGCTGTGTCCACGGCCCACAGAGGTGTTGCCTATTAATGTGGCAAGGAGGGGGGTTGAGCCGTTAAAGGAGGCTGCCCTTTCGTGTTGCTCTACTGTCCCTCGCCTGAGGCTGCCACCAGAGAGACTAACAGGTGTGTCAGCCTTGGGCAAGGGGCATTGCATTGGCGAACCAGCCCCCACAGCCCTTTCGTAGCTAGTACTTAATCCCCACTAAAAACTCTTCCCTCCCCTCTTCCATTGCTAGCCCTCTTCAGGGACCCGTAATCCTCCTCCCTTGGGACGCCAGCGCTCCTATCCAGTGGCATTGCTTTTTCCTTCGCTTATTCCCCTTGTTGGGCTGAGCCCTGGAGTTTGGATCAGGCTCTGATCGCCCCCACCTGTGTGGGTTCAGGTCCGACTCGATTTAATATGGCACTGGTGCCCTGATGGCTGCTTCAGTGCTGGCAGGAGCAAGTCCTGCCCCCACCAGGGTGGACTTTGCCAATAGGCTCGGAAGCACTGCTGTACAGGATCGCTGTTCATCTCCTCGCTCCCCTGCAGCCGGTCAGCTGGCTTTTGTAAGCTCTCTTTGTTACACAACTCTAGTTTCTCGCGCACTGAATGGTGCAAGCATCATTCGTTTCTCTTAGCTCCTTGCCTGATGGAACCGCCCCTGCAAAAGCAGCTGTGCAAAACCCACCTGCTAGCGGCGTCCCTCTGGGAGTCCAGGGGCTAAGGGGGGGATAATCCTTTCAAGTGGGATTCGTGTCAATGAGAGCTAATTGCGTGCAGGGTAAGCGGCGGGGCGGAGCTGGGCTGCTGATGGGGCACCATACCAGTCTTCTGCTCCTTTTGTGTGCCCTGCCATCGGGCTAAGGGGCAGGGGTGAACCTCACCTCTGCCCACAGAAAGGTCGTCCCTACCATGCTGGCCCTGTTGGTGGGGTTTGGTGCTGACCTTCCCCCTTCCACCCACAGAGGCATTCTGGGACTTGGAGAAAATCCAAACCGATTGGGGCCCCATTTGTTGCCTATTTACCCCTGGTACTAATATGCCCATTTCTAAAGGGGGTGCCCAGGGCCTGTTCCTGAGATCTGCGGTCTCTCCCGGCTGCTGCTAGCTGTGTCTGTACTTCACAGGATCGGCTCCGGCTCCTTGCTCTGCCAGGCGTGGGGCTTTTGGGACTGGAACCTCCAAGGCAGGCAGGCAGGCAGCGTTCATGCTGATGCAGCTCCTTGGGGGTGTAATGTGCCAGAGGCCCCCCCCAGGGGTGAATCCTCCTGCAGGGTGACCCTGGCATTGGCTTAAACCAACATGCAGCTGGAAACCTGCCCGCACTGGGGGCACGTGATACCCTAGCAGCAGCAACTGTTCAGCCACCCGGTGCATCCCCTGTTCTCTTGCCCTCTGTCTGTGGGGCTGCTCCCTCCCCATGCTTTGCATTAACCCAGGTGTATGCTGGGCCGTTTAACAATAAGCTCTCTCCTGAGGCCTCTCCATTTGTGGCTTGCTCTCTGCAGTTGCTCTTGCTTTTACTGTTCATTCTTCTCCTTTCTCTCTCTTCTTTTCTCTCCCCCCCTCCTCATTTTATGGCAAAGTGAGGGTAATTCAGGCGATTAATCAAATGCTAGGCCCAGCTGGAGCCATCTGTGGCGTCCTCACACCCCCTCCCCATGCACGCGCGCACACAGGCTTCCTGATTGGCTGCCGGTGACATCACCCTGCCTGGATCAAGGAGGTTTGCACTGCGGGGTGGGGTGGGGGAGCCTTGCCTCCAATCTGCTTTACTGATGCTTCAGGCCGGGGATTGGAGGGGATTGCAGAGAATTCATCCTGCACGGATTTAGCTGTTCTTAAATCCGCTGGCAAATAAGGCCGAATAAGCAGTTTTTAAAAACTGGCAAAGAAAAAGAGAGAGAGGTGTATCCACCCTCCCCTTGGCTGAAGTTACCTCTGCAGTGGGCATGGTCACGTGCAGCAGCAGCAACGCAGCACTGATGCCCTGCATGTGTGCATGGGGGTGATGACCACTGTTAAGCAGGGAAGAGCCTAATCTTCTGTCTGCAAACCTGCAGCGCTTCAGGAGCACAGCATCTCTGCAGCCAGGCCAAGGAAATCCCCACAGCAGTAGCCAAAGGGAGCTGGGCCAGCACTCCCCATTGCTCCTCTCTTCCCACCCCCACCCCTCCAATGGACACTTTAAAGTCACCGATGGCACCCAAACTTCAGACTGGTGCAGGCATGTGTGGCCCTTTATTGCTGTCCAGCTCGCACCAATAATCCGTCTAGTATCCCAGCTCTAACAGTGGCTCCTTCAAAGGAAGGTGCAGGAGACCCCCAGTGGGTAATTTACATAGCAATGCGGGCATTGACGAGAGACAGAATTATAATCTCCTGGGAGTGACGCTCCGGTGCTGGGAGAGGAAGCACTCGTTGGTTTAGCTTCTCTTCTTACCTCCTTTAAGGCTGAAATGTTTCATGGTGCTTCCCAGGCCAGACACAAACGTTCTTCCGCTGTACTTCCAAGCAAGCCATTCGTTAAAATCCTCTAGCATGCTATACCTCCAGAGCACTGGAGTTAATCCTCAAGGCACCCTTGGGGAGTTAAGCCACTTGCCCCAGGAAGCCGAGGGTTCCTGTCAGATCCTCCGCTGGTATAAATCCGGTGTAAAGCTCTGTTGGCGCTATTTGTGCACCAGCGGCAGATGTGGCTGTGGGTTTCCAGATTCCAAGTCCTGTGATCAGGCCTCTGAACTGCACCACTCCTAAGGAAGTGTACTTTGGGCTGATGAAAGCAGCCCGACTGCAGTAACTGATAAGTCAAGAATGCACTTTGCTCCCAGTAGTTTCAGTCAAAGTGATGTTTGCCATCGATTTCAATAGGAGCAGGACTGGGCCTTATAGCCCGCTGATGTCCCTTTAAGAGCATGTTTTAGACCCCATATCTAAAATTCTTCCCTCCCCCCCCCCCCCGCCCTTCAAAAAACCTTACATTTGTGAGCCGCTCACTGTTGTTTTTATTGGGCATCTCAGTTTTGTTGCTCAGTTTGGGAGCTGGGGAGTGTTGAATATTTCACCTGGTGGTATATTGCACCACAAGAGGAGTGGGGCCTTATGGGATTTGTGGTTATTAATAACTGGCTCCTTGGGGAAAGAAGGAGCTTCTGTGTCTGCTTCCAGAGGGGCAGAAGAGGAGATGATTGCTCCTTCAGGGCTAAGATGAAGATTCCTGAGTCCCCCAGAGCAGGGCTGAGGGGAGGAGCTGCCAGTGCCCCTCTTTGTTCCTCCCCATCAAAGCTGTTGGGATGATGGGAGGGGCTGGGGGCTGTTGCCAGTTGGGGCTAGAGCACTTGGGAAAGGGGAAGGGATGGGATAGCAGGGGACCTTTTAAGAGGAGGTTTTTGAGGGAGGGAATGGGACTTGGATCAGGATCTTGGGGTTGCAAGGAAGGCATGGGGACTGGCTGGGGGCATGGATGGGCAGAACGGGCAGCAGAAATTGAATGTGGCTGCAAATTAGAAGCATAAAACTAGAACAGGAAACATACATACTCTTTAAAAAAAAAATAATACATAAAAAAACCTCTTACCAGCTCTAATTCCCTACAAAGGAGCATTATGCACTTAAGGCCAGTTCTCCTAAGGCACCCAGCAGCTCTCATTGAGAACAATAGGAGCTGCTGAGCACTTGTGAAAATCTAGCCATTACTCCCTTCCCCATCTCACTCAGCGTGAACAGAGCAAGCCCCAAGGAGGACAAACAACCCATCTTCACTTCCAGCAAAGAAACTGTTGCCCGTCTGCGTATGTAGTAACCCTGCTCACCATTCCTGTAGTGGTTTATGACCGCCCAGCTAGTGTTGAGACTGAGTCTGATACATTTATGATCAGGATTATAAGACAGGGTTGCCTTTGATAGCCGGGGATTGGACTCCATGACCCAGTCCTATATATGAGCCAGTGGTCCAGCCTGCTGGGTTAATGGTCCATGAAAGCTGACTGCGCGGTGGAGCGGCCGGGAATCTGTCTGAGGAAGCTGGCGTTGGAATGTAACGCCAGAACGAAGTGGCTGGTCTGGGCCGATGAGTGGGACGGGGTTGTTGAATGACAGTGGTGGTAGCTCTGAACCCAAAGTTCAGCTCTGAATTCCGGGTCTTCTCTAATGGGTCAAACTCAGCCCCTAGATCTGAACCCTCCAGTGCTGAGGGAGGTTTGTAAACCCCAGTTTGAATTCCCAGCGGGTAAGTTGTCCAGAGAGGCTTGAGCCATTATGACCCACAGCTGGGTTTGGACAGGGTCGGGTTGGCTTGTTCTCCCCTGTTGTCTGCAGCCACAGAATTACACCAGCCACTGGGCCTTGGTGGAACAGCAGCTCCCTTTGGTGGCTAGTTCAGGTAATGCACAGTATGTGCTCCCTCTGGATCTCTGTTCAACCCAGGTCCTCCTCCTTGTCTATTTCAAGGTACAGGCTGCTGGTGGGTTTCTCTCTCTTCTTCCCCTCCTCCCCCGCCAACCGATGCAGCACCATCCCTGGCACTTTGAACAATATCAGTCCAGTGTGTGTTAAATACATGCTCTCCCCCCCCCACCACCACCACTATGTCTTGGTCCCTGGAGGGGGGGGCGCCAGCTGAGTGGCTCCCCCTCACGTGATCCTGTGTGTGTGTTTGGTGGGGGAGGGGGCTGGGGCCAGGGAAGCTGCTGCTGAATAGCAGATGGCAGGAAGGGTGACATCATAGGCTTGATTGTCCTACCCCATTATTTTTCCTGACAAGCCTCCCGCCTTCCTCGCT